CCCTTCGTAGAGGGATTGCTGGCTGACAGGTTCCAGTGGCTGCTATGGGGCTTAGTTCTTTCTCTGTCTTTCTCAGGGTTTGTGTCTGTTACTGAAAATATGTGGATGTGGTCAAGTAAGTTCAGAGTTTTTCTACCAACACTGGGTTGTAATAGCTTCAAAAGCACAGTAAAGTTTTCATGAGTAACAGCTCCTAGTTGGATAGCTTTTCGCTGCTGGCTAACAAGGTGTTTCATTTCAACTGTAGAGTGTCCTACCTCCTGCGCAGGATGAAAAGCCATGTCCATCTACAGCTAACCTCTCACGGCAGCAGCAGCAGCAGAGGAACAAAACCTATATTTCATGGCCCTCATCAAGTAAGGCTGGAAGCAAGCTTGTCAGTTCTGAGCTGTAATTTATGGCTTCAACAAGAGGTGTAAACCTGCCTTTTTTTGCTTCTTTCTCTACAGGTGGCAGTGATGTGGGAGGAGCAATGCCTTCCCGAAGTATGTCTGATCCTGACCAGGAGTTTGACAAAGAGGTAAAGTAGCTTTTATTAAATGGAAACTGATGATATCCTGTTGATGTAGATTGTTTTCTTATTCCAATAAATTAAATTTCTGAGGAAATATTTCATAAAGACTGTGTTCTTTATGGAGATGTTTTCCTTCCACAAATGTTTTCTCCAGCCTGTAATATATGATTGCAAGTTAGATATGCCAGCACAAAAGCAAAGCTGTGAAAAGATCTTTTTATGGTGATATTTTAAGAAGTATTATGTCTTGGATTAAGCTTTGTAGACAAGGGAAATTTGACTAATTGATGAAATGTCCTCAAAGATCCTAAAAATGTTCTCTGGACTATTAGCATAGAATAGCAAAGTAATATGACTAGTTAAGTAATTTTCTGTGCTGCCTTAAGGAAGACTTTTTGTCATGTAACTTGAGAAGGAATCTTATTTTAAAATATGTAAAGCTGCTTTTAGCAAGAGTAAGAGTATGTGCCAGTAGTCATCAAACTGAAAATGTCCTGGCTGTACAAAACTGGTGTCCCTGAATCTAAGGAGAGAAGACGTATGATTTTTGTTTACTTGATTTATCATAGGTGTAGCTTCTTCCAAGCTCTGCTGAAGCACTGCCTGTGCAAGGGAAGTGTTAGGAATTATTGCTGGGAGGTAAACTCCTGGATCAAGATCTTTGCATTTTATTTTAGTGCTTTTTGGTACCCTGCTACAGGTCCATGTAATGTTCTGGATTTTGAAGGGTGTTTTCCTGAAGCCAGACCTTTGCAGGATGCCTTAGTACACCCTAAGTCAAAGCATTTGTCCAGAGTTCTGATCACAGCCATGCTCTGACTTCCTTTGTCACTCTGAGTAGCCATTAAAAGCATGTGAAAATGGGGATCTCTAAACACAGGTATTTTTGAAACTGTCTTGATTGTCAAAGGTGCCGATGACGGACTATGTCAGTTGACTTAGTTATTCTGCAGCATCATTCCCAAATTCCATTACATTCCATGCTCTAATGATAATTGCTGCTTGTAGGCACAAGTAGCGGTAGATTCTAAGGTTTTTATGTTTTCTTTTTCAGTAGATCTTACAATCTCTTACAACTTCTTAAATTAAAAAAAACCAATAGTAGTTTCAAACTTGAAAAAGGAGGCGAGGCTCTAATACCACCTTTTGGCTTTATACTGTTTCTTCCATGGTTTTTGGCTTTATTGCAGCATGAACTGGATCATGTTAGGATAATCTTGTTATAGGTGATCTTCTTATTGTTTGAGCCATGCAAAACCTTGTGAACAGCGTTTTTGAAGGATGTTACCTTTCAATCTATTTGCTAAATGTATATTCCCTTTCTTGAAAGTAACTTGCTGCAATGGTACTAGTTTTTCCTGTGCAGTATTTCATTAGCTATGAATGTGTGCAGTGCTCAGAATTGTAACTCACCAAAATAGTGGGAAACTTGCCAGCCATCCTGTTGAAGTGAGACCAGTCTGTGAAGGCAAATATCCAACAACCGATCTAACGGTGGGGAAATAACTGTGGATAGACTGTCTTTATTAGATATTGACATAGGGCGTCTCCAGTAAGTATATTCTCTTTCCAGATCTCCAGCCTGATACTTGGCAACCTTCGCTCTTTTGTCAGGCACTTCACATGCTTGTCACTGTTGCTGTTTTGTAAACAGTTCATGTGCTTGTTTCCTTCCTTCTCACCAAACTGAATGTGATTTGACCATAATTGTGTACATGTTTATATGGGCAGATAAATCTATTTTAGGGCTGTAAAAATTGCTTAAAAAAACACAGGCTGGTAAATCCAGAACAACAGTGGACAGATGGATGCGTTCCATCAGGAAAGCTTTGCTATGACTAAAGGAGAGGAGCCTGGGATTCAGCAATTTCCACATACTTTGCTAAAATTCCTGTTACAACAGAAGGTGGTCACCTTCAGGACTGCACCATGGCCTATTGACAATAATGGAAGTAGTTGCATGAATGTTTAGCTGTGAAATGAATCTAATACACACTGCTTCATAGGTGTTGCTCACCCTAAATTCTGAGTGCCTTTGAAAGCTTTTGAGTGTAAAGAATTGATTTTAAGTAAGAGTAATTTTTTTTTTTTTAATGTTTCTCATTAACAGCCTGATTCAGACTCCACCAAACACTCTACTCCATCCAACAGCTCAAATCCAAGTGGTCCCCCAAGTCCCAACTCTCCTCATAGGAATCAGCTTACACTAGATGGACTGGACCAGTCAACCTGTGATGCATAACAGTACCGCTCTCACCGTTCCGGCTTCGATCATCCACTACTCCGTGGAGTATTCAAAAGCAGGGCAAAACTGTCTCAGATGCTAGTGCCAAGACTGACACTGAATCTCTAGTGTTGTACAAGAGTAATTATATATCTAGATTGTAGATACAAACTATTGAAATGAAGAAAATTCTTTACTAAATAGCAATCGAGCTTTTTATGCAGAATTGTTCACTGCTCAGTTACGGTTGATTCCTTTCTGCACAGCTGTGACACAGTTTTATTGCATAGGAGCATTTAAGGCCACCAGTAAATAGTCTTATTCTTATGCTGAAAAAGAAATAGAGAGAGATACTGATAATATTGCTACAATATCAGGAATATTATTTTTCTATAGAATGATGTAATGTCTCATTAGCAGGAAATCCTTTTGGACACAATTTGGACCTCTAAATAGGAAATGCGAGCAGGTCTAGTTACATCCTCAAAAGAATACACTTTTCCCTTCTTCCCATAACTGTTTGTTTCCTAAATCTTAAGGAGAATGCTAGGAAGCTGTAGGTCGTTTCCAACATCAATAGAATCACCAGGAAGTCAAATAAAAGTTGGTTATAGTTTTGTGGCCTTTTAATTCATTTAGCCGTTACACATACAGCTGCATAACTAACTCTCTTTCTATCTTTCTACCAACTTTTTAGTCTTGTACATAGGACTACTGCCAGTTATCTTTTACCTATACCCTGCTTTTTAGTCCTCATCAATCAGTCATTAGTCAGGGCTTTTAAAATATTGGTAATTACTGCTGTGAAAAAAACTTTACTCCTAGTTCCTGCCTATCTCCTTCTGAGAAGTTGTTTCTCCTGGGTTTTTTGGTGTAAGGACACACTACATTGTTTAGCTAGCAAGCCTTCTCGTGGATGCATTGCCCTCAAAGTCTGCTTGACCTAAGGGACTATATCACACTAAAACATCGGTCTGTTTTATTGGTTACCAAAGTGGAACGTGAAGGATGTGTAACTGGGAGTGCTGCTTTTCTCATTAATTGTATCCTCACCTGCATGAAGACCCCATGATTATTAATCAAGTATTGATCATGTAGAAAAATGCACAACACACTCCTGTATATTTTGCTATGGCCCACGTGCAGTGGTGATGTTTTGCGTGTATATTTAATCTCATGCTTCCATGTATTATACATTTAGTAATCAAAGATTTGTGACCATGTTTCATTAAAAGCTTGTAATTAATTCAGTGGCTGGCATATCCAGTTTGTCATTGTCACACTAGTGTGCCTTCTGTGCCAATTCTATGACAGTTGGATGTCACTTATTTAAAATTTGGTTTAAATGGGCTAATGATATACCAATGGTTAATGTTCTTTTCTGAAACACTGTATAGGACGTGCACTTATCTTTAGTTTAAACTGAGTGTTCTAGTCAACATTTAATCCTGTTATGTTAAGTGTTCGACAGTACTTGCTCTTTTTCTCAGATTCTTGATAAAGGGGCTCAGATAGAGCTGGACACTACTGCTTTGGGGGTTTTCTGGTTTTTACTTTTTTAATGTAAGTCTAAGTCTTTGTAATTATTGAATTGTGAGAACATTTTTGAACAATTTACCTGTCAATAAAGCAGAAGAGGGAGGTTTTAAAGTTCATAGTTGTCTGTCTTGACATGTGAAAACAGTATACCACTGACACTTGCTTTAGTTTCATGGTAAATTCACTTTGTTCACATGGACGTTTTACAGAAACTGTGAAAGATACTTTGAAGCTCCATACCTGAATGCTACGAGAAAGGTGTGTGTTTCTGCACGTAAATGCATGTTCAGGAGCGATGGAAGTCCTTTTCGTGGAATACAGTGTTGAAATTTTGTGCCCTTGGTTTGTGTTAGAGTTGTCATTTCATCGAGTCGCTGGCCCTATTAATTAATTTTTAAATATGACTATTTCCTTATGGCCGAAGCATAGTAAGGAGGCTGCAGGATCTATTCAGACATCTTAAGTGTGATAAAACAACAAAGACTTTTGACTTCTTGTCGAAGCATTAGTCCCAAAGAAACACTTAGGAACACTTCAAGGATTGGTGTGTGAGTGGTGCTGCCCCTAATATAGGGGTTGTTTTTTTAAAGCTCCCCTCATGCTCCAGTGTAGCTAGAACAGCACCAACATCTTCCCTAGCGTGTCCTGGGTAAGCATCCCTCTTCCCTTACAGAGTGCCCCAGTGCTCCTGGGTTACTTCTTGATTTGTCTTGCCCATCCTACTCCAGGTTATCTTAATGGGGAAGGCCTAGATTAATATTTTGGACCCCGCTGTCCCTTGCTTGACCAAACCTACCTGGACAAGGCCAGCAGGCTGGGGTGGGCCGGCTTAGGAAGTGCGGGAGTGATAGCTGACAGGAGGTTTGAGGGCTGTGTGCTGGAAGCCTCCTCACAAGTATTCATGCTAATCAGCCTTTGACTTAAAAAAAAAAAAATTTCTACTGCTCTTGAGCTGATTTTTCTCTGCACAGTGAAGACTTCAGATGACAACAAAGTCTTTAATTATGGGGGTATTAAATCATAGCACTCAGCAGTGCCAGGGCTTGGTTATAATTTAAGCAGGAGAACGTTTCTAGAAAAATAAACTAATTGCTCAGTATGAATACATTATTCTTTTTTTTTCCCCTCAAGTCTGGCCAAGCAGAATTCCTCCCCAGTCCTCCACCACAGCCCCCTGCAAATCTTCTTATTCCCTTAAGGCTTCCAATGCTGGTTACCTAAAGAGTCCTCCTCAGCCCCCAGGAGAACTTTGAGAAATGCAGAAATTCAAGACTCGATGTGAAATGTCCCTCTGACGGTGCACTTTCTTCTCCCTGGAGGCTACTGGTCTAGTATCGCAAGTGAGGAATTGAGTTACACAAGGAACGAGGGTAATTTGGTCTGCCTGCTCCTCTGCCCATTCCATTTTCAGAGGCACCACATCAGGTCCCAGAGCCAGGGCCGTGGGTGTACCACTCACCAGAACGGGTTGGTCATTCCTAGCACAGATCTGTGCCCTGAAAGGCTGTGTATTTTGGAATACCTCCTGGTGTGACTTGCTACCCAAGAACTAAACCCATCTGCCATCAGCTCCATCTATAGCACAGATGTGCTGAGAACAAACAGCTTCCTAAATGGGTGCAGTCTGCTGGGGGGGGTGTGTAAACCCTTGCTTTATGTTTGCTGAGTAAGTGCTTAACACCGCTAAATCACAGGGAGGGGACTTCGGCATGGAAATGCCAGGCACCTTCATTGTTCTGCACAACACCAGATTAGGCATCCCTGGGAGAAAGCAGATGCATAAAAATCTTAAGGGCTGGCAGTGGCAGTCTAAAGCACTGAGAGGCAGGGAAGCGTGGGAAGAGGGAAGAGATGACTGCGGGAACCGAACTGCACCCTTAGGTGCAGTTAAGCGACGTAACAGTCAAAGGAAGGTGTCACATCATGACCACAAACCTTGTCTTGCTGCCGAGTTTAGCCTATTCTAAAAGGAAAAAAAGAGAGGTGGCATTCATTCTTGCGTGCCGGGCTGCCGGAGCATCTCATGTTCTGGTTTGCACCCTGCCCGCTCCGCACCAAGCGGCTCCAGCAGGCAGGAGTGAGGAGGACGTGCCAGAAAGTAGCGTTCACTTGCCCAGCTCTTGCCTTCCATTGCGGTGGCAGCAGGTCTGGGCTGCCTTCTCCTGTCCGCTTGCTCCCCTGTAGATTTGGCTCCCGTCTCAA